TTCGATCGATCCGGGGCTCAAATCCTGAAAAAAGGGCTGGCTGCATGCGCGTTTTTGTTGTTTTCTCCATGTGCAATGTGTATGGGGGCAAGTTCCCTTAGAAAGTCTTCCACGAAGGCATCCCAACCCTTAGGCAGAAAGCCCTTGCGTGCTTTGCCGTCATCAAATAAACAAAGCCAAACCAACCTCATGATGCCAAGCGTCTGGCTCAAGTTGATGCACCCTGCCCTCCCAGGTGAGATGGGGTTTTATCCTTTGAGTTTGGGTATTCCTTGCTCTGATCCTACAGTCCCTTTCTGCCCCTTCCTTATAAATAATTTCAAATATTGCTTTTACGTTTAAAATTTAATTTAAAATGGTACTTACTGTTAATGTACTTTAAAAGAAATTAGATAAAACCTTATTATTTATAAAATAAATTTAATTACACTTTATTAAAATCACTTAGTCATACAATTTGTTTTTATTTCTAATTACATGTCACAACACAACTTAACATCAAATAAAATACAAAACAAAGACGAGAAAATTAACATCAGTATATTAGTAAACGCAGGGTGTTCTTCGCCATCCAGTAGCGCTCCCAAATCGAAATGTGAAGAAGAGTAGGACAATTGATGGCATATGGCAAGTCTACGTCTTCATTAAGAACCCATAAGGGGCAAAGAGAGTCAGGAGTGACATTGATGCGTTGATGATGTTTATGAAGTAGTCATGGCCAGATATAAGAAGGAACAATGCGACAGATTTCTTTCTAGGCCATTCGGATACTCCAAGAAGCTGTCTAAACCATGATTTATTTCTATTTATCTTTGGGAGTTCTTGGAAAAAGGAATCGCTGAGGAATCCTTTCCTAACGATTCACTGATTGGCGTAGTTGTACCGGAGACCAGGCTGTGATGTTTGAAGGACATACGTTACCTTAGTCAAGATATCGGTGGCCTCATTACCCTGAACTCCACAATGGGAGGGAATCTATTGAAGTACAACCTCTTTGTCATTATCTGAGAGCCACTTAAGACCGAAACACCAATCGGCAATTGAAAAAGAAATGTCTATAAGTCAAATTACAAAGTTCGAAGGGCGGCTCTGGAATTTGATAAGAAGACCACCTTTGAAAAATGCCCCAGGCGAGTCTGTAGTTGTAGCCGGGCTCGGTCGATGGCTATAATTTCACCGTCAAGAGCAGCTTCATATGAGCCAATGGGTGCGTATAACTCGCAATTAACACTTGTACCCAAGGGATAGAATAAATATCAGAATATTTATTCTAACCTCCTTCCTTGCACCGCCGTTAGTGAAATCAACCCTATATGGAACTATCAGTATGCACTCGCAACCATTCATTTTCCAGAGAGTAAGAATTTATAGTTTCGTATGCCAAAGCACTGAGCACATTTTCATTGTCTCGGCTCTGAACTCCTCTTTTTCAAGTCCAAGGAAATGGAGAAACCCTTCTTTTCAATAAGTTTACGAGGTAGTAAGAAATGTTCGAACTCGAAATTAAGGCTCGAACTTGAAATCACTTCATAAGCTCCCTGGATGAAACCACTTTGTATCTTCAGATTCCTGCTCGGTGAAAAAGGAAACCTTATCCCAAAAGGCCAGGCATCTCTGTGTTCTGATGATTTTCTCCCAAAGAAGCACAGCACTTTCCTAGATAATCAGACTAATAGGTCTGTTATTAGTACATAACTGCATGCAATCAATATTAGCTGTTTTCACTGCACCTGTTATTAGGCGCAGTACCCGATTCTGGAAATTTTCTATATTATTGAGAATTTTCTTTGAGGAAGTGATTAACGGTTCACGAACAATATATCAAAATATATAAAATATAAGTATAATAACTGGTATTATGAGTACTTCTTGAGCATCCCCACTTAGAACATGTTACAATCTTTAACAGAGAGAGTATTCTCGAAGATCAACGTATTCTATCCTCTATATGTGATCTCCAGAAAAGTTTTCTATCGAGGGATATACCAAAATATTTGAAATTTTCATCAGTCGGGATTAAATGTCCTTCGCAAAAAAAAGTCGTAGAAGGAAGGATTAGTTGGTTAGGGAGAAAGATTCAACGTAAGTCTTATCAAGGTTTACTTTTCTGTGGTTTAATCGGATCCAATTTTCTATGGCTAGTAGCATTCTAATCAAAATGGAACTGACATGATGCTCTGCAGTTTTCTGTGACATACTGTCCATATAACCACGTCGTCAACATAAAAAAGACATCTAACGCCGTTTATTGATTTCAGTTTCATCACCAAATTATGAAATATATACATTAAAAAGTCAGCAGCTAGAGACTACTCCCTGTGGAAGACCTGTTGTGAGAGCTCTGTATTTCGAACGGCAGTTGTTGTACCTAACCCTGTAGAATTATTCAGAAGATATTAATATCATTTAAGCATGCTAGAATGAATGCAGATATCTGAAAGCTTCAAAGGAATATTTTCCTTCTACTTTACAGCATAAGCTGACTTAAAGCCAACAAAGACAGCCGATAAATTTCTGTTTCAATTGTCATACAAAATTAATGGGATGAATCAAGTAAACTCAGTACCAAAAAGAAGTTGTAAGTAGATAAATAAACATAAATAATAATAAAATAGGAATTTTAAGTCGGTTTCTTCCTTTCGTAAAGTATTGCTTAAACACAACTGAATAACTAAAAACGAAAGCTGTGGTTAAAATAAAATTAAGAAAGAAGAAGATATTATTCTTTTTACAAAAAAATTACATCTTACAGTAAAAATTAAAAAATTGTTTGAATGTTTAATGAATATGAAAGATTAATTCCATTCTCTGGTAAGATTAACCGAATAATTTCTCTTTCTACTCAGTTTCTCCTAAATTGAAAAAGGCAAGTTGTGCATTTCCTTATTTACTGAAAAACACTTTCATCATCCCCCTTTTCTAAACTGCTCATTTATTTGTCATTTTCGTTTCATAAGTTCAATTAACCCTAGAATTTTAGAATTTTTTTTAGTTGCGTTAGTTATTTGAGCTAGATTAAAACATTCTAATTCCTCTTTTTTAAAATACTGATTTTGTGATAGTTTTATTGAATAGCTCTTCACCAATCATAGCGCAAAAATTATTAAAAAATATTCCAAATTTAATAGTCCTCACATTATGGATCAAATTTACAACTCGGACATTAAAAACATTATATTTATTAACGATTCTATTAGACTTAAACCAAATTTTTGATTTGTGCCTAAAAGGAAATATTCCCCTTTCCCTATTAGTATGATTCAATAATTTAACGCTTTATTGTATTTCAGTGCAAAAATAATGCAGTTGTTAGCAATAACCAACAGATAGCACCACAGTATAACAGCTCCATGTTACGGTATTCGCATCTGTTGTTCAACCATTATAGTAACATTACAAAGGAAAAATAAGAGGGAAAATAAGAGGGAAAAGAAATTCCTTTCATATGCTCATTGAGACATAGAAATAATTTGAAAGAGGCTGTACGATCGAATTGAAAGATTGAATTGAACGATTGAATTGAACGATTCATCGATATAATTGAGAACATTGTAGAATCACTCATCATTTACTTCGCAGATGTGGGGCATTTAAAAGACTTCAGCAGAAACTAACAAGAAACAGCAAGTTTGAAGCTCTAATGGGCAGTGGACAGAAGGCGACAATAGAACCGAAAGATCAAGTGATTTTCAGGGCGGCTCTCTTACCTCCCGATTCATCTATATAAACCATCCGTTGTCACACGCATAATAACCGCACTCTCTATTCATCCATAACGTACGTACAACACAACTACTTTACGAAACTCTATAACTCAATATAGGAAATACCTTTTTGTGCCATACAGAATTTCCTTTTGTCTTGACGCCTGCCAAGCACATCCTTAGGTTCCTATGTCAACAACAGAGCACATGCGGAAACTGACGAAACGACGTCTCGACCATCCTAGAATGACATCAAATGAACCGAGAATTATTTCTATGTTTTTTATAATAAAAGATAAATATTAAAAATTCGCTTTAATAAAGAGAAATTTTCTAAGTCAGTGCCATGTCGAATAAAAGCTTGCATTCAGGCCAGAACAAAGGCTTCATTGACTTCTTCACGCTGGGTTAGCTTTACCATTTGGCCGTTAGTGAAAACTTTGATACAATATGATAAGTTACTATTAATCGTAAAAGAATGATGCAATAATGAAGGTGATGACGTGGGATGCTGTAGAAATGGACTTAGGTTTTAGAGCCATGGTTTTAAGGGCAGAATACAGATTACGCTAATTAAGGAAATTATGAAGGTATATTTAAACAAGCCTCTGGTATAAATATCTGCACCAAAGAACCGATTTTACCATGTTGTTTCTTGAAAAATTGCTCTTATACCTTAAGTCATCCAAAAGTTGGGGCTTAATGTAATTTTTCAAAATATTTACTGAAATATATTTGATAATGTCTTTCCTTTGAATAAGAATGTAGAAGAAATTTAATTCCTAAATGTATAGAAGATTCTTACAGCGGTAAATTTTTTTTATCATAGAATGTTAAAATGGAAGATAAAGACTCTCTAAAAATAAATACTAAGTTTTGATCACGATTTGTGGGGGGAAGAAATGTTAAGCAATAAATACTTTTATGATAATTTTATGATAATATTTTTTATAATAATTTTAAATAATTTTATGGTAATTAACATAGATTCTGATAATACTATATAATGCATATATTGTAAATCATCAGAATGTTGCTATGTGCATGCCTTCGATGCTTATGTAACTTTCGGACATAATCAAAATTAATATGAAATTCTGTTCATACGTCTGTTCATGTACTAAGTAGTTAAAATTGTAATAAATGGCCAGCTATTTTCACTTGCATTAAATAAGTTTCCTTGTGCTGCTCTTGGTCTGAACTATTTAAAACATAGCTCAGGTATTAATATGCTGGTGATGCTTGATTTTTTAATAAACACTTCTTGGAAGAGATGCACGTGAATCATGCCAATGCTGATAATTAGCATAATTTAATCTTTATTTCATTATCATTTCAATGACAGCGCCAAACACTTTACATAGTTGATATCTAGTAAAAACTGAATTTTGCCAACTGTGTTTCTTTCAGTTTCTTTAAGGGAATGATAATTATAAATTACATTCAGTTTCAAATTAGCTAGAAGCTATCGTGTTTTCTATAACAGTTTCGTGACCTTGCACGATCAGTTAATAGTGTAAATAGGACCATGATGAAAACACATTTTTTCACAAATCACAGATGATTTTTAATCTATCTATTGTTATAAAACTACAAAGTCTTTCTACAACGGATAAAAACTAAATGATATGTGTGTCAGTTTCTCAGTCATCACATTTTGTTCGTTGAGAACACATCAACATATCTTTCTGAGTTCTGGTAAAATGAAAGAAGTCTCTGACAATTAAATGCAGTTGTGAGCCATTCAGTTCATTCAAGTCACCATTCCATGGAATAAGGTCTGTTTTTTTCATACACAGAATCTTCAAAAAGACTGTCTTCATCTTCATCGTCGTCTTCATCCTAAATAAATAATAACACTTAATGAAGAATTAAGTCCACTTACATAAATAAATAAATGCTGACACTTCATAAGAGTGAAAGTATATATATATATGAGAGCACATACCTTTATTTTTTTATTTTTTAGTAGAAGAAAGAAGAAAAGATATAAATTCAACCCTCCCTTAAGGTATTCCAGGACTTCTAGTTCCATAAAGTTATGATATATAGCAGTAATATCATTTATATTTTTGGCAATGATTTACTTTCGAAAACGTGATTCGAAAGCTGTAAATTTATACACATTATATCGCAAGATTGAGGTTATTTGTCATTTATGGTGTTTGAAAATATAAAAATACATTTTTAATTTAAAACAGTTATGGAAAATTCCACTTTAATGTACTAGACTGTATCTGAAGTTTGCAGATTGCCCATTTTCTTCCTCTCTTTCTTTTTTAATCATGTGTGTGACAATGTACAGCCAGAGAGTTCCAGAAAACTTTGCACTCGATGATCTCAATGCGTAACACAAAAACACCTTTTAACAGCCTTAATAATGAACACAATAAAACTTGATGGCATGTTAAATATCTTAGATATTAATAAGAAGTATCTATCATTCTCGAATGGATAATACAGTTACGTCTTCAGGCAATGCACTGTTATATTTTAGAAGATAAGAAAACCCTTTACGCTACGTACAGTGACAAAAGCTTCTTAAGTAGCAAGAAAAGGAATAACAAGCAGAAACAACAACCCTTTTTTGTGTTAAAAATTTATATTAATAAATTTAGTTCTTTTAGTTGAGTGAATGTGATATTAATACATATGACAAGGAACCTCAGCTTAAGGTTATGTACCAGAGCTTAAAGCGATATAGGAGTTAACTGATTGAAAAAATAAGCAATACAGAGTAAAAGAAAATAAACGTGATCATTTTATTAAGACACAATGAAAGACTGTTGAGTAGATAAGTAAACTAATATCACATTTTCTGACTTTTCTTTACATAACTAATGCACAAAGCAAAAGGGAAAAAAAACTTGGCATTGTAAACATTCATATCGGCATCAATATAATAATATCACATTCTCATTAACAAATGCTAACATCGTAAATATTTCATACTTGGAAATAGAAGCCATTGTTTCTGCCTGGGGAAGGCAATTCAAGAACCGCAGGTTCAGACATCTGACCACACTGGGACAATGCACAAATACTCAGCTGCAAATGCCGCTTTAGATTGAGGCCACTTATGAGAGCTTTTGTACGATCCGGTGCGTAAACAGTTTCATGCAGCTGGCCGTTGACGTAAACCTAAACGAAATGAAAAAGTTAAATTTTAGTAAATGCCATGAATGTTAAGAGTAGAAAAATAGTTTTCTCGTTCATAAAATGCAGAGTCTTTCAAAAGCCTCTTGAACCCTGTGAAATTCGGAAAGATCTTTGTAATAAGGAAACTCGTTGTAAAATAGTTTGTCACATGAAATGCCGTGCTTAGAAAAATACTTCTCGCGCATTAGAAGACGTAAAAAGCAATATTAGTGACGTAGTTCGGGCTGTTGAGGAAGTCTACTGAGATTTATCACGTTCAACTGAGTCTGAGTGCCAGTGCAGAATATTTTCAACTTTTCTTCAAGTGAATAGTATAATAGACGCTTATACATTATACAGAGTATATGCCGTATTTCTATGAAAAGTCTGCTGCACGTTGAAACTGATTCTTTAGCGCGTGTGTGTGTGATTATGACAAAGCCTCGAGGGCTATCTGCCTAAGGAGAGGGATGCCTTCGTGGAGGACTTTCTAAGAGAAACTGGCTCGTATGCACGTTACACATGGGGAAAAACCACGAAAACGCCCATGCAGCCAGCCCGTTCGCGGGATACGAACCTCGGACCGGACTACCAGGGTTCAGCGACTTTACAACTCGGTCGCTGGTGGGTTCAACTGATTCTTTAGAAAAACTATTTAGTAAAAACAATCTACATTACAATTGAGGTTGAAAAATCATATAAAAATATTTCCATACTGTAATACCCGTGCATGCGCATTATACACGTATAATACGTAATTTCACAATTTGATCACATAATATTAAACCATTAACTTAACAAAGACATATACTAAAACAGAAACACAAACTGCTTCAAGCAATAATATAGTTATGAAAGTTTACATCTTTATTTCATTGCCCAGATAGCAAAGGCTGCTCTCATTCACAAAAGAATGTTACCAGAAGTGATGGAGGTATTAACAAAGAAGAAGAAATACCTACTTAAGGTATCAGCTTCTGCTTGTAATAAGAGTCATTTAGACTAGTCGGTCTGTTTTTATAATTTTGAACCAGCAAGTGCGCAAAACCTATCTTTCTAAGGGAAGAGATGTCCTCTGCAAGATCTCCAACGGGGAATTGGCTCTTCTCACGTTTGGTAAGTCATTTGACTTCATTGGGTTTACATTCTCGAAGCTTCATCCAAAGGCAGCCTTCGGTATTGCAATGATTAGCAATTGATTGTCTGACTTCTAAATTAATGCACTGACTTCTAAATTAATAATGATCTAATAATAATTGCATTGTTGTTTGACTTCTAAATTAATACATGTTCGGCGCGTTATTGTGTCTTAATGAAAGTGTTAGTTTTAGTGCTTCCAACTTTCATCTTTTTTATACTGCTTTACATGAAAGTGCTAGATCATGTTTAATTGTTTTATTTTTTATTCGCTAAATTATTTAATTTTGTCACTGTCCTTGACAGAAAAACGTTTTCATTAATTTATATATTGATTTCATTTATAAAAACTATTTTAAAATTTAAACTGTAAATCTTTACCTGACCTTCTAAAAAATTTCTCTTTAGTTTGAGTTTGATAGAATGTACAATATTATTAGGAAGAAAAGGGCCACAATATAGTTAATGCCAAATGATTTGATGTAAAAAAGCTCGATTTAAAGAATGCTTTGATTTAAAGAAGGAAATTTATAAAATTTTAGAAGGCTTTTCCGACATACCTCAAATCCTTCCAGAAGTGCAGGATTCACATAATCCCAGCCAACCAGAAGAGTATCAGATCCCACTCTTTGGACAACACGGAAGTTAGTGGGACGTGGTAGAACTTCTGAGGGAAAAAATGCATCGTTTGTAATAATTAATTAAATAAAAGCTTTTCAGATTCATACAAACTCTAGTTATACGTAGATAACTAAATAATTAGTTATAGGTTAAAAGATACATTAATGCGTCAAAATATTTTAAAGCTCCATACTATATATATGCTGTTTTTCCATCTTTTGAAAGAATAGTAGTTTCGAATTCTGACAGCTCACTTTTCAATACCTCATACCTCGTATATGAATGTCTGAAACTCTTAATATTTGATGAGTTTAACCAATAGTGAGAAAATCTCGTGTCTTATTTCTCCACCATGCTCATTCTTTCAGCATATCTTTTCAACATTAGAGTGTATAAAGCTATCCCCACTGGATGTCAAGTTAGGTACGAAATATGCAACCTCTCTAAATAATCACACGTATATCAGAACTAATGTATTTATGCATACTGTATACTATATTTTCAGCGATACAGCCATATTAATTAGGCCCCTAAAGCACATATCAATCCTGAAAAACCCTATCATTAGAAATCAGGGCCGTCTTAACGCATGGGCCCCCCTGGGCACTTTGGGCCCATTTACATTTCACTTGCATTTCATTTCTGTGAGGGGTTCTCGTAGGACCTCAAGCGAACTGGTTTGCTCGGTATATAATGCTGTTAGGAGGCTCTGGTAGAATCCAGTATCGGCTACGTCACGGTCCAAAGAACTGCCCTCATTTTGTGTCGAGTTTCTGATTACCAAAGAGGATGTATCTGTTATCAGGACAGTCTTTATATTCCATATTTAGTATTCCTCGTGTCCTAAATAACTGCCTAAATTCACATAATTAAACACTGAATTCATTAAGAGAGGAGGAAAGAAAGATTATACCTTTTAGATTAGATTCTGAGGACAGAACATTTTAAATTCGTACGCTTGAAAGATACCGCAGCTACTTTTGTTTTGAAATAGCCCATCAATCAGTACACTTTATGGAATCTAAAATGATTTACCAATTCAGAAAAATCTTCCTTATTATACTAGTGATCTAATAATAAATTTCCTTATAAAACTCTAAGCACAAAAATTTGTGCAGCGTTTTACCATAGAAAATGGAAATCGACTGCTCTGAGATAAGTATGTCTGATTTCCATCAAAAATCTCAAATCTGTTTAACATATTTTCACATGTCTAAAAATACGTTTTCGGTCTTTTTTAAAATTCTGATATTTTAGCCTGTTTTCATAAATAATAAATAATCTTTTTTTTTTTTTTTTTTTTTTTTTTTTTTTTTTTTTTTAACTGCATATGTGAAATAGACTTACCATCGTAATCATGTTCTTCCTCCTCTGCCTTCTGAGAAGTTACCTGCAAAATAAATTTTATTAATTAAAAATGTTTACATACATAGGATTCAACTAGGCAGGAACTTAAGTACATTAAAACTACAATACAATGAAGGAAAGAAAATACAAAAAAGATACTTTTTGTGGTTAAACAGTGAGGCAAAATGAAAACAGTGAGTGCATGAAGACAAAATGATCAAATTTGCAAGCAGTCTGAGGGTTTACAAGGGTGCGAAATTAGTAGAAACAGCTGCCAGCCCTGGCACTTAAAACGGCCCTTATCCAGTTAGGCAGGGAGTCGAACCGAGCATCGACGACAGAAACGGGCAACTCATTCCATGCTGCTTCTATACCGTGCTTCATTAACCGTGCTAGTTAGGAGACAAATCGGAGTAAACGGATTAATTTCTTGGAAGTTTTCGTGATTTAGCAGTGTATAAAATGAATACAATCCAGTTCCCTTAGAAAGTTCTGCAAGAAGGCATCTCTTTCCTTAGGAAGAGAATCGTAATGTGCTTTACTATAGTCAAGTAATCAATACGATTGTTAGTTGTTATTTTATTTAACTCTACACCAGGACTCTGACTGTTATTTAACGTTCTTTGATTGTAACATAGTTGAGAGGTATGTGGTTCATTATTTTGCTCCTCTTTTAGAGTTCATTCTTGTTTTATCTTTGCTATTTTCGAAAGAAACGTTTTTTAGTAAAAATACGTGTAGCGTAGTTTATTTTCCTACTCATAGCATAAATAACATAAGTGTTTAGGAGCTACATTTAATAGCTTCCAAACAGATTGATTCTTGTTACTGATAACTATCTTTATAAAGAAAATTCATAATGCTCCAAAGTAAGATTTTTCAGTTTTTCAAGCATGCGCCTACGAAGATAAATGCATGTAATTTCACTCAAATAGACTAGGTACTACAAAATGATCAAGTCGGTTAAGATTTATCTAAATCCTGTAGAGAAGTTTTCACTGTGTTATCTCCATACTTTGTGGAAGAAAAGACATTTAGAAATACAATGCTGAATCAGATTAATGCAGAGATATAATTACTTGCTGAGGTGTAGTCTGTTGTCTGGATTGGTCAGAAAGAAAAAATTTCATTCGTTTCTCCGTATTTTCTCTGTTTATTTTCTGAAATCATACAAAAATATATAGTGCAATGTTGCTATTAAATATACTTAAATAAATTTCATAATCGTTTTGGATAAATTATCATTTGAGTATAATGAAATTTAACAATTTCAGAGAAATAAAGATATTTTAAGAGAACCTTATTTAAGAATCTCTTGAAATCAAAAAATTACCTTCGCCTGTAAATCGTGTTTCATAGCAGCCATTGCTTTCATCATGCAATCCTCAAAATTCTGACGAGCGCTATCGTAACTATCTACCTCAACCTGTGAAACACATTAAGAGTAATTAAGAGCTTATTTTGGTAAGAGATGAAATGTATTTCAAAGCATTTCTTATACTTCCTGCTTTTAGCAATTATATTTACACTGAGTAAGACAATCATGACATATTGAAGTACATTTTAAAGATTTTATATTGAAATAAATTTCAAGCAATTTGCTAATCGTTAATGAATTGTGGGAGACTATTCAGTGTAAACAAAATAAAACAAATTAAATTTAAAGACAATTCTATGAAAACAGCGTTGGCATATGAAAACAGCATTTCTATTCCTATCAATTAATTTAAGGTTTACTTAGTTGAAGCAGACTTTTTACGTACGTTTACTCGTTAAATTACGAAGACATTTCTTTCCAAAGAACATTAACTCTCTCTTCAATCTCTTCTTCAAAAGGATTAGATTTAAATTTTAAAAAATAGGATACCAATACACAGCATCGATCTTCATCGTTGTATTTGCATTCTCCAATCACAATTTACCAATTCTCCTTTCAATCATACCTTCCCTCGATTTACCGCTTATTTTTAGTGGTCCGAATCGAAGCGTATAAAAAGAATGTCAAATTATCTTGCATTTAGAAATGGATTTCTTTGATTTAAAAATAATATTTTATAAAAGTTAGTCTATTTTAAATTCATTTGTGGCTATGAAATTGTGCTAAAACAAGTAATATTTCCTTCCAAATTTGAAATTCACAACCAAGTCTTAGAAAAGGGTTTTGTTCTTTACTTTGCATTATCCCTTTCCGGCACTTTACATTTTAAAGTCGTAGTTTTGATAAAAAAAAAAAAAAAAAAAAAAAAAAAAAAGGTAGGCAGTCTAATTAGGCCTAGAGGAGTACACAAGTAAAATTTTGTGAAGGTAGCACTTATCGTTTTAATTCTGTGGGTGTGCCCAAAGTGGCACACTGATTGAATAGAGCTTCGAAAAGAATGCTGAAACGAGCATTGTTGTCAATAAACTGACAGATGAGATGCCGAGAAACAAAGAATACTGACTCTCAGTTGTCCTAGATTATCGGTGAGCCCGGTCTGGGCACACCTAGGGTTTGCCGTTCGATTTTAGGCAAGATTTCAAGGTAAAAATTTTAAACTAATATAGAATAAGGAGATTAGCATACAGCCAATCAAAAATGGAGTAGAGAAGTACTAAATATTTTTTAAAGATTTAACAATGTATTCGATTTAACTACATCCTCGATTTAGCAATGTTTTAGTTACGTCTCTTAACATTCCTTATGTAAGGATTGGATTGTATACATCATTTTTGAATTTTAAACATCATATGAAACCATTCAACACTTACTTATGGCTTATCAATTAACATCATATTTCAAGAACTAAAACTGAGTGCATACATACGTGATAAAATGCGTTAGAATTTTATCAACTTGCAATAGAATATAAAATACCTGTTGCCTATTGGGTTCTTGAAAGAGACTGGAAGAAGCAGGGGTATCTGGAAAATTTCTTAAACTGGATGGCTCGGATGTTGGCGTTTTAATTGAAGCTGGACTGGAAGCAGCTAGACTCCCTGGAAAATTTCCTAAACTGAATGGCTGGGAAGATGGTATTTTAATTGGAGGTGGACTGGAAGCAGCTAAAGTCCCTGGAAAATTTCCTAAACTGAATGGCTGGGAAGATAGCGTTTTAATTGTAGTTGGGCTGGAAGTAGTAGGAGTACCTGGAAAATTTTCTAAACTGGAAAGCTGAGAAAGTGGTGTTTTAATTGGAGTTCTCCCGGAGAAGTTTTCGTTAGGTTTATTATCTTGAATATCCAAGTCAGGAGAAGAATCATCAACATCTGTGTAATCAGCATCTTCAATATCCTGCATTAAATTAAACCAAAAATTAAATAAAATCTCCCAGTATTTAATTTTTACATAAAAATACGAAAACTAAAAAAATATAATCAAGTATTCTCAGAATTCCCTGAAAAATACGAATCTATTACAAGCATGTTTTCTTGTACGTTAAGTTGGTATATGTGTTATTTCTATAATGTAAATCACGCCTCATCAAAAAAAAAATAAAAGCACTGAACTTTTATGTAACATAGGAACATTATAAATAACGCTATTTTACTAATCTTACTTAACTGTACATTCATTTATGAATAACTTAATATTTATATGTTAGTTTAAAAATAGATCTCACTTCAATTCTTTTGTCCATTTATATTAGCAGCTCTTAACAAAAATGTTCATATTCTATTGTATTACCAATTATTAACAATCACAATGTTCATTTGTGTTTTCGTCATTATTTTAGATTTGCTGAAAACTATCTCGGGCAGTTTTGCTTTAGGTTATATTAAAATTATAGAGTTGATTTACAGCAATAAAAGTCGAATGACGGCCCGGACGTTTTCGATTATTAGACGTTATAGTTATAAAGACTAGATCCAGCTCAATTCACGTTAAAAACGGTTAACTATTTATGTTTTATCTTAGGCATTTCTGAAAATTCTAAACCTCAGTTTAATATTTTCGTACGTGATGAACTAATAATTCCGAATTTTCAACGAATAACACGAACTGAAAGTTTTGACAACTGATTTCTTGTGCAACTGGAAGGAATTCAAAGAAATTTCAAATGTGTTTGTTTATCAGCATCGTCATCAGTCCATTTGGAAAAAAAAAAGAATTTGCATTCATTTAAAATGAATTAAAAAGTATTACTTTGGATTGTTATCTTAGCAAGCTTGCAGAGACATTAGGATTATTTGGAAAAGCCGGAGAGATGAAAAATTAACAACACATTCGCCAGGAATCGAACCTCGGACCTCTGGAATACCGGCCCAGTGGGCAAACCACTACACCACGAAGGCACGCTAGGAAGGCAGAAGAAATACCTTATAAGCTATTATCATTATCATATCATATTATTATCATTTTTATAAAGTACTATTCTGTGTCATTCCAGATTAAGAGCAATTAATGGCAATTGGTCTTTCAGCCATTGCCTTGTTGTAGTGGCTGCTTGTTGTTTTTTCCGCTGATCAGGCATCATTCCGTTCGATTTTACCTTAGGTCGGAAGGCTGGTCAGTGGCGCATAACCATAACCTTATAAGCTATTTTTCTCCGACTGGAGTAGATTCTGTAAATCAGAATCATAAGCACATGAAATATTTCAGCGTTTTAAAATTTAGTATTTTGAATCTATTTAGAAAGTCATAAAAATTTAATTACATGAATGTTGGAACAAAAAAAAAAAAAAAAAAAAAAAAAAAAAACCAAAGACAGGTTTTTCAATTTTTTTTATTCGGATAAATATTCCTTTTTCTATGGGTACGATCAGTTGCCCGAGTAAGGTTCCCCATAAAGATGATTTAAATTTAAGTATTTAAATTAAAACTAATAATTGAAGAACAAATTATTTTCACGCATGTTAACAAACCAGCATGGTGTAAACGGTTTGTTCTCCAGGGGCTGTTTATGCAGTTTGTTTATTTTTAAATTGCTTGTAGAGTTCCTTACGCTAGCGTAAGGAATACATCTTAACATTTCTATTCACATTTGCATGTATCCTTATAACGCCTCGAAACTGAATCAAATTTTGATTTTCTAAAGCCCGCTCCACTGTTACCAGTACCATCTGAGTAATGTTACCGTATCATCAGAGCTGCTGCGTGTAGGTGTGCATGTTATTCACTGCACGAGGCAGCAAATTTAAATGGGGCATTTTGGTTGTCCAAGTGGAAAAGTGTATAATGAAGAAATCCCATATTTTATATATATATATAATACGTGTAAAAATAAAGTGATACTAAGAGAGTATTTAGATGAATCATTCACTAGAGTGGCGGAAACTGTGATAGCGGAAAGGTTGATTCTGTGCCATAGTAGATAACTGGAATGAAAAATCGCAAAATCACTTGATAATCCGAATATCTCTTTTATTATTTGTTGATTCTCGTCAACATATGTTATTGAATAATGTATTTCTTTTCATGGCACAGCCCAGTGGGGCAATCTGCACCCCATATTTTTAAATTACGCAGTTACCTTTTTTTAAACAATGGAGAAATATTCAAGCCAGAGACGTAGCTTATTGAGGCATAAGGGCGCACGAGCCGCAAATTAGAGTGCGCGTAAGGCAGCTGAAACATCTATACTCGGAAATTATTTGATTCTAAATGATAATTGGATAAAAGCTCACAGCAATGCGGATCTCTGCAGGAAAAGAAATTCTGCGTCAATGCATATGTGAAGGAGGTTATATTAATATTTAGATAAGAATTTGAAAGGTCTATAGCCATTTAAGTATCGTTCATGTTTTATATTTTGCATACGTATATATAATGTCAGACAGTATTCATTTAGTAACAGTGTAGCTATGGCTACAACATCGAGAACTCTGATTTATTACAGTATCTCGCGTCAAAAACCCGCAGTTTTATTTAATCGTTTTTACAAGTAAAACCACTTTTGCGATTTAAAGAAAAACCGAAATCTTACAATAATTATACTGTAAAATGCTGCAGCGCGGTGTTTTAGAAATGGCTTTGGTTGTCACTTTGTAACACTACTTATAAATTAGACGTAATTCTTCACGAAAATTCGTTAAGAAATAAAATTGATATCGAATAGCAGGTGTTAAATAACGAATATTATGAGATAGAAAACCCCTACAATATTTTACTGCGTTCAAAAAAGAAAACGAAAGGGGAAAAATTTCACATCAAACCACATTTGGCTCTGCATTAAAAACAACGAATCATATTCGGATACATAAATTTAGAAATTCCCGTGTGTTACTTTCTAGGGTTTTATATTAGTTATTCCAGTTATAGTACTCTATTTTATCGGTTCTATACATTCTACTTTCGTCAACTCCAGCTAGGATGCAAATTATTTAATGTCTGGGAGCATAGAGTTCTTGAATTTGAGAGAGTGTCCTTGGAAACTATTTGGCTGCTGAGATCATTACTGGCTTCACCTTCGCTAGCCGAAATTCCATAGTGAATATTTAAGGAAAAGACTAAACTTATTTCGGCGCTAGTTACTTTATATTTAATATTTTAATGTGATTGGAAATTTGCTTAATGTTTTCCTCCGAGTAATAGAGATTTGACTTTCTGTCATTGTTATCAGTTCTGTGTATATGTCAGGCTGACGTGTTTATAAAAAGGTTTATTTTAAACTTTAACCTGAGCTTGTGGTTATTGTATTTAAAAAGGTACGACAGGAGGATAAGTCGTCTGTCTGTCTTTATGGTTCTTGAAGCTGACTATTAAAGTAGGATAGAACCTTACAAAATTCAAAATTTCATTTCATTTTTAATATAAATTATGTTGCGAAAATAGGAAAGCATCAAAAGTCATATCGTTTATTATTGCAACTGCAAAAATAAATTAAATTCGTCTTACCTCACCGCAGGCTTTTTGTAGGCTTGAGGAGGCAGACGATTGATTTGGAATGGCGACTGACATTCTTTCCTCTTCTTCATCGTCAGATATTCTTTCCAGTTTATTCTTTAGGTCTCGTACCTGCGCTCTTAACTCTTCAACTGTCTCTTCGAGACCTCTCTTTTCTTCTTCGATGGTTTTAATTTTGTTCCTCATCTGGCTCTCTGTTGTCGCTAGCACACTTTCTGTTTGTTGGAGCGATGTCTTCAGATCTTCTTCAGACTTCTTCAGTTTGGCTACAGATTTGCGCGCGAGGTCCAGCTCTTGCTGCGTTTTCTGTAGATTAGATGATAATTCGTCTCGGTCACACAGCTGGGCTTCGAGCTTTTCTCGGAGCTGAAATTAATACAGTTTATATTTCAGTTCTACAGTTGTGACGCAGCTCTTCAAATGAATGATCTGTTTTAATAACAGACAGCATTTCGTAATGTATATTTTAAGACAATTAAAGCAACAAAAATGTCAATTAATATATTTAAAAAAACTGTAATTTTGATGATACCCAGGCTTTTGCGATAGATCTGCTTACATATTAATATCGAACTTCATTTCATTATTCGTGAAAATTAATTACAGTTTTTTATGCAACTATATCATATCTCAAATGCAATGTGAAAAATGCATTGAAATGTTTCTCTTTTTTAGATCTAAGCGCTTATAAGTTATACAATAAGTTCATACCTATGCGTATGATTTTTATCATAAGTCTACCTATAGATTTTCTGATGATAAAATGTGTATTATATACGATTTGTATTCGAGAAAGTACAAATTGGTCTAACTTTGTACTGGACAATCCTCGTTTTATCTGTTCTGCCAAATGGCATGAATCAAAGTCGAAAAATTCCGCAAAGTGGCATAATGTTATGCTTTATATTGTTGCGTGCATACGGGTTCGTTAAGAAATGAATGCCCAAGTCCGATGAAAAATGAAGAAACTTTATTATTATCACAAGAAATATAATTAACGTCCTCAAATAACCGTGCAGTATCACAATATCTCACAGTAGTTATCCTTTAACTACTCAAACATTCAAGAGAACTTAATTCAAAACAGCTATATAAAGCTAATCCGCGAATTCGCTACAATCAACAAGAGCAGTTTTCTAAGCAACAACAAACTAAGTAACTACTACGAACTGAGAGGTTTTCCTTCTTTTATAAGATTTTAAAATCGCGCGCGAGAATTTTCTAGTACTTTCTCGAAATCAAAAAGAGAAATTTATTAAATGCTAAATGCACGCGCTCTTGTATTTTCAATTTTCCGGCTTAGCTTTCCTTTAATATTCATCACGCGCTGAACTGCGCGGGAAATAAAACCATTTAATTTATAATTCAACTAACATTAGCTATTTAAATACCAAATCCGTAACAATATGCTTATCCGGTGGAGATTCTCATACGATTTTTACCTCATCATTAATATCAACAACAAAAAAATTCGAAAGGTGCAACACCGAGTAGAGATCAGAAAGCATTTATAGTATAATTTTTTAAAAGTTAGCATAATATTTATTAATTTTATAGAATTACCTTTACATTTTATTAATCCTCGGTCCAGAAAGCTTATAGTTTTTAGATGCTCACTACCATAGAAAAATCACATCACATGAATTTTTCAATTATTTATTCTAAATTATGAATCTGAACTTAAAGCGTGATTTGAATTTTCCAACGAATGCATCTGGTTTGTTCTCATATACTCTCAAGAGCTTAAAGTTAGATCTTTCTTCGATAAATCAATTTTAATTGGAGGATACCTCTGAAGTTATTTTTAAGTTTTTCATGAAATACATTCTCATCGGGAAAGAGGCACAGGGATTTTCGATTCGTCAAGAATGCAGAGGAATATGTTTCAGTTCCACGAAGTAAAATTTAGTGTTTAGCAAGGCCAATTGTTATTGTTTATGAAATGACGAAGAATTGATTACAACATTACTATTCCTCTATCACTAAAACAAGCTCAGTTATTGATTAATATATAGAGACTGATAAATATATATCATGTATATGCTGAAGAAAGAGAGAGCCACACAACCCAAGGCCATCGTTAACTGAGGACCAAATATGGAAATATCAAAGAAATTGCGGCAAATGGCTATACGGTAGGCCACGGTAGTATAAATTACGATAGGTGGCTGTACAGTAGGATCTGAGAGCAGCCAGAAAGGCTTTGTCAACATTAAAATTTAAAAAGAATTATTTTTAATCCAATGGTTGGAAGAATGCCAACCAATCGTCGAGAATGACCATATCCAACAATTGTGAAGCCGTGTGTTCACCAAGAACATTTCGTACGGTGCCCCGCAAGAGACACCTGCATGAAAATATTATAAGCATGAAAATATTCTAACTCGGGCCCAACCATACCTTCGCTAGCAATAATATCGAACAGGGCTGACAACTACAAAAAGGATGGACAATTATGATTGCTGATTATCATTGTATAGATCGAGTATTGTTAGACCATACGGATAACTTATAAACGGATCCGAGCATAATATAAACAGGCGAATGGGGTTGATGGATAGCGTATCATTGCACTGAAAGAGGCTGGTTATACCAACAGCCGTACTGCCAAGCATTGAGTTGAAGCGATGCGGTAACCCAGTAATAGTAATGATAGTATGCCCCGGAAAATATAAATTATAGGTACACGTCTATTAGACGTCCTCCTAGGGACGCGACAGAATGTTAGGATTAAGCAGTCGCAGAAGTTCATACGAACAGTATCAGCAGTCATGTCATCATCTAAAATTATAGAAGTTGTCAGAATTACTTGTGGTAAGAAAACTGAATTTCGAATAGACTATTCCTTTGCCTACTTTTTGACCAGGAGACACCACTGACATCAATTCCATTACCTTGGACTCAGCCAACGTGGAATAGTCAAAGCCGCATAATTTTCACTGAAACGCCACATTTTGCAATGAGCGCCAAAGACAACTTATTTGTCTTTATAGCTGGGTCGGTCATTGCACCGATGTTGTAGAAAGTGTAGAACATTATAAACCCTCTGCACTGGCAATCCAAGTCGCTTCTTATGACATTCGGATACCCTTGATATCATGTTCACCATCTTTACTGCAGTATACAGCATTTCGATAATGTTCTGGAACTAGCTGTGCAGAATTTCTCAAGCCACATTCATTAAAGCATGCATATTTCAAAACACCACACAGAATCCTTATAAAGCAAAGCATATAAGAAGTTCTCATTAACAGCATCTAAAATATTACCACTATTTGGCAAGTGCCACCATTGAAAACCGTGTTAATAACATGCAGTTGCGTATAATCATTAACTTAAAATAACTTTATTAACATACGCATTCTGAACAAATACAGCTTACCTTTTCTAGATCCTTCACTTTGTTCATGGAGCTTCTCTGCAATTGTTCTAACCTTTCGATGTTCTCCTTTAATCCTGTTTCTCGTGCTTCCGCTTCAAGAAGCTCCACAACTAGATCATCAGGCTTTCTGCCATCTGAACTTCGCCTTTCTTTGTGCAACACTCCTCTAAGATGGCTTTCCACCGCTTCTAAGTGTCCTACACGTTGCTTTAAATTCCTTTCCGAAATCTCCAGTTCTTCGATTTTATTTTTATATCCTTGTTCTACGGATGCCACTATTCGATCAGCATGCTCAAGAGTTTCTCTATAAGCAGCCTCTTTCTGCTCCATTTCATCTAATTTCTCTCGTAATTCTGCTTCGCGATCACGGAGCTCTCTAAGTTGGTTGAGCAACTTCTCTCGTCTAAAGTTACTAATACTGTCTGTGGAAGGTTCAGATCCAAATCCGGAATCAATATCTCCTGTTATTCTGTGGAGCTCATCGTGCAAATGAGAAACGTTATTTTCCAATTCTGCAATGCGTGCCTTGTAAACTTCTTCCTTACCCCTATAGGAATACATTGAAAAAGTTAATCTTAAGAGAGATAGCAAATATTTCATCATTACATGATTTTATCAAGACTAAGAATCCAGTATACTGAAACTCAAGTCCATATAAACATTTATAAATTTGGATTTACACATTACAGAAATACAATGCACATGCATGTTAAGGCTTTTGCTATCTATACATATTTTAGTAATTATATACTTCGAATGTGCAGCAGGTTCTGTGTGATGCCTTCCCAGACTATTGAATTTAGGGCCACATCATCTGTTTGACCACCTCCTTCACCTGATCTTAATACAATGGTATGCTATCATGCGAGATCAATTTTTCATTGCTTGCCACCTCGTTTATTTGATTACACTTTATATGCTTTTCTTCCTGGGAAGCTGTACGGAAACAGATGTTACTAATCCAGGTCCCATTCTAGAGATAAGATTAGAGTCAGGATTACAGATGCAATCCATGATGTCACTGAACAGCAATTTAGGAACCATTTTTACAAGCTAAAAGACCAGTTTGATCACTGCATCAAAGGACAGTGGTCATACTGAGTTTTACTTCTACAGAGTAGCAGCAGTTTATACGCTTACTTCTGTTCTGTTAGACGTAAAGAGATGTAAATATTTTATATGTAAGTACAACGAATTTTTTTTAACTCTGACTGTCACGCGAGTTTGTAATAGAATGTCCTTTAGGCCACAAACGTTGCTATGCCATGCGTCAAATGTTTCCGATAATAGGAGTGTAGAATATCTAGAATGAAACATTTTAGGACATGCATTCAGTTTAAAATCTTTCCTCAAGAACGAAGTATCTAAGAAAGGGTGTTATATTCGAAGATTATTTCTTCTTTTCCAAGTATTTTTTCTGCAGCGACAAATAGTCAAAACATTTTTCTGTTAAAATTGCTGCCTCAACTTTTTGCAATGTCTAAAAGAAAAAGGAAAGAGTATTTTTTAAGTGAATTATATAGCAATGAAGAAGAAACTGTTGCAACGCTTACAAAAACTTGAATAATAAGGGTAAGGAACATCCCGAAATTTTTCAGAAAGATAATTATAAACAAAATTACATCTTCAGATTCTGATTCGAATGTTGATTAATGCAGTGATAATAAATGTAATGTAGATACTACTGATCTTATTTTATAATAACTGGTTATTTAGGAAGAAAGAAAGGTTGATACCGAAGAAAGCACAATACAGTTTAGTGAAAGGAATGAATTTATCTGTCAGCAACAATCATTTGCGTTTCCTTTTTCAACATTCATTTTTTCAAATACCTAATTTACTTCGTAAATACTCAACTGTCACCCGAATACGAATACGCGGCAATCAAAGGGTTAACTGCACGCCCACAATTTTGAAGCCCTTCTGAGATATTGCAACCCATTCTAATTGTTCATAGAGCTTATTTTACCTTTGCTCTGAGATACTGTTAATATCCCTTTTCATAGCTAATGTCAGAAGTTGTTTTGTTTTTATATTTTCTTTAAATCTAATCAAAATTGTCTTTATCTTAAAACAACACTAATTGTAACTTTCAAATTCAGTTTTTCTAATTCTTAAAGTACACTTTCCTATTTTTACAATATCCATTTTTATTATATACGTTTTGAGAAAGGTTTAAAACCGTAATAAAATTTGAAATCAACTGCTCTACAAAGAGATAAATACCATTTAATCTATGACTTGCACCTGTCAGATCGCATTCACATAATTTCATGTGCTGAAAATAAGAAATTATACTTACTTAAGGTCATCGATATTTTCTTGAAGTTCTTTTTCTAAGCGCATTCTTTCATCCGTAAGTGCTTGGGTAGTTAAAGCTGTTCCTTCTTCCATTTCTCTAAGCTGTCGTTTAAGTTCAGCCTCAACTTTACGGTGCGCTTCTTCTGTGGCTTCCATATTCCTTTTATATTCAAGTCTCGCCTGCTCCAGATCCTGCTCCTTTTGCCTCAAAATGCTCATCAACTCATTTTGCCTCAATTGGAAACTATTAATCATTTCGTCGCATCCTAAATTTTTGTTACGAAGCATTTCCAGCTCTGTTAATAATCGGGCTTCTTCCAGCATATGTTTGCTACGAGTTTCGTCCATGCGAACTTTGAAATCTTCTTCCATTGTACGTATTTTGTCTCGTGTGCGACTAAGCTCAATTTGAAGTTCTACGTAACTTGCTTTTAGTTTCTCTGATTCAGTTCGGTTATCACTTTTACTTCTTTCAATTTTAAGATTTGTTATTTGCTTTAGATGTTCTTTTTCTTTTGCAAGCAATTGATCTACTTTTAATTCTAATTGTTGTGTCATTTTGTCTTGCTCAGCTTTCATCTTTTCTGTTTCCAGCCGATGCCTTTCCTTAACATTTTCCATTTCCTTTTCTAGTTCATGAACACGTTCAACAAGTTCCTCTTTCTCTTTTTGCAGCCTTGATACTTGTTCTACCAAACAATCCCTCTCCTCTTCCAGTCTTTTTAAGTCCCCAATAAACTTCTGCTCGGTCTTCATCCACTCACCATACTTTCGCTCCTTCTCCAAGTAAAGTTTTTCGCGATTTTCTAATTCTTTCTCGAATGAAGCATTAATCTGCTCTAATTTCATCAACCTTTCCTTAATTTCTTGCTCACTTTGGTCTAAACAAGCGATAATACCTTTATGAGAGCTTGGACTTCCATCCTTACTTTCAACACACTCATCGTGAATTTGCTCTCTCGAAAGTGGTCTACTTGAGAGATCACATTCAGAATCCGTGCAACTGTCCGTTGTACAGTCATCAGATATATTTTTTCTCTTGCATTCGCCGATATGAAATTCCAAATTGTGTAACTTTTTCCAAAGTGTAAGATTTATTTGATCCACATAATGTAATTGTTGTTGTAAATGTGCATCTTCTTCTACTAACTGGTGTAACCTCTTGAGGAGCTCTTTTTGAACAGGGCACTCCAAATTTGATAAAGAAACCGTTGTGCTTAAATCTGAAAAAAAATTAATACACATTTAGAATTCATATATATATATATATATGCGTAATGCATAAGAATTTTTAAAGGTAATTTACAATACTGCACTGTGTCTGTTGTCTTTATTAAGTGGGCATCAATAACATCTTTTCTATCAAACCAAAAAAATGCAAGATTTTCATGTCTTGTGCTCTTTATGATTCAAAGTGACAAATTTGTACAGGTTATAATGTTGTATTTAACTGGTACGAAATATTTTCCAAGAATCATAGGTTTTATAATTTCTGAAAAAGGTTAGTACAAATCGTAGTATTATACCTGGCCTGAATTTAATAGAATCAGCTTCAGTTCATTGTGTTAGGTTTCATTAAGTTTCTCTCAACTGCATAAAAGTAATACTTTTAAAGTTGAGACTTCACTGCCTTTGAATTCATGTAATTCCCATTGACAGAATTTGTAATTTTCATTTAGGTATTCATTTATTTATAGATATATATTGAAAATACGTACATTATTAATGAAAGAGTGTACAGTTTTTCTGCAACGGACCAGCTATTTTGGTTTTAAACTCATACTACTTGTTGCTTCGTTTGAGACGCCCTGAGTTTTCTTCAAAAGTAAATATAAAGTAATCCGTTATACAAGTCCTCGCGCCATCATCCAGCCGAGATTACGCGATAGAAGCAAAGCCCAAAGACACATTGTTATAACTGTCTGGCCTCGTGTGCACTTAGGAAGGTGAACTCATAAATAGTACTTTTCCTTGACGAGTGTAATGAAAGAAGTAATTATACATTGTATTAAGAAAAACTCAGGAGCTTAGGCGAAGAAGATTAGCGCAGTACCATCAACTAAAATACTGCATGGATTATTTTCAATGTTTTTGGCTATTATTATTAGTTTTCTCTCAAACGTATAGCTTAACTAAAAGTTATTTTATACCAGCGTATGTATTTTTGTTAATTTGGAACAAAATATAGGTAGAAATTAAGTAGGCTAAATTGACTCACAAGCTTTTAATACCTACTAATAATTAATCCTGCACCTCTTATTTTAAATACTTTGCTTATCAGAAAGCAAGAACCTAACGACCTATCCTTCCTAAGCGAGTTATCGCTTCACAAAAATGAAAACTTATAACTAACTATATAACAGTAACTGAAAGTTTCAACAGGATAGTAGGAAAACTGAACTGTTCGCAAAACGAAGTAATTGTCATAATTCCCTTATTGAGTTTTATCAAAATAAATGTTTGCAGAATTTTGGTTAACGAAAATAAAAATATCTCCCTCTTTTTTGAATAGTACAATCTTGTTAGACTAAAAACGGAAAGATAAGAAAGAATAAGATTCTCTTATTTCCATTACAATAGCTATGTATTTGGCTTACAGCAAAATGAATAAAATTTCATTGTCGGGATTTTCGATTGTCTGGATGAGTTATAGCTTCAGTTAGTGCATGCAGATAATTGTAGTTCTAGTATACTTCCAATTATAAAGCAGTTCTAAAGAAGACAAAGAATTCTAGCAAAATAATTTCAGAATTGAGGTAGGGCGTTCTTGTTTATACAGGATTAGTCTAAAAGAAATAAACAGTTTGTTTTCGTGACCGAGTCAAGTTACACGACCATTAAGAAAGTAGAAAAAGTTGTCTGTGTACTTAAATGTACAAAAAGAATTGTTACTGTTACAGATCGTCGCTTTAGAACTTGGTGTGGACGATAATCTGCTTTGTCGTTCAAAAGGCCGGAGCACGGTTCTAGTACGTTGATGGCCAAGAAGTCTGGATTTAACATTGTGTGACTTATTTGTGGGGATGGATTAAGGACCGAGTTTTTTTCTTTGTCTTCCTACAAATCTGGGCGATCTTAAACAAGGCACCACAGCAACTGCCGTATTTTTGACATAGATGTGTTGAAACGTGTTTTGGAAGAACCTTGCTTTCGTACTTTCAGTCCTAGTTTTAAAAAAGGTCACAAACAGGATATTTATAACTTATCATTGAAATCTTTAGAACGTATTCTAACGTTTTCGTAATATTTCAGCTATGCTACTAAAAGTTTCGTTTTTGTAAAAATTTAAAAATATCTTTCTTTTAGGCTAATATTATATGCAGCTTATTTTTATGTGGACCCCGTGGGGGGAAAAAGTCTTTGTGAAATATATACTATTTTTAACAGATTAAATACAGTTCCACACCTTTCAAAATTCAAAGAATATGCACAAATAGCACGTTAACACGGCTTTAAAACTTGTTGTATCTCACTGATTAAATCATATTGAATACTTCTCCGAGTAGACTTTTTTTCTGCAGGGAATATACAAAAACTTAAACTTGCAGAATTCCCCCCCCCCAAACTCCTGGGTGCTAAAACTCTTTTCATAAATCCTTTACCTTACTTTGTGAAGTAAGGAACTTAATTGAAGAAGACAAAACCAATTACTGATTGAGTACTTCGTCTAAAATCTGCTGTACTAAATACCAGATGCTTCAAACATTACATTTAGAACCTCTTGGAGTCGGAGGCTACAGTCAACATCCACTTTGACAGCATTAAACTACTAATTTTTGTGCCATTACTAAAATTCTATCTCATTTAAATATTTAGAAGATTATCTCATTTAAATATTTGGAAAATGAGTTAACAAAAATTTAATGTAATATACAAGCAACTCAAATACTACATTTGCTTACCTTGAGAATTTTCTGCTGATGAGGTTTTATTTGCGCTTTCCGCTTCTCGATCAGAATGTGATCCATATTCACATGAAATGGCAATATCGTTTTCAGTCTGAACAGCACAATCAACACCTTGAGTAATATTCTTAAACATTTCGTGAGACACAGCTGTAGAAATATCATTCGATTGCATACAGAAATTTTCATTATTCTGAACTCCGTTGCTAAAAATATCAGTGCTTTTTGATTGCGGATAGTACGTTTGTGTTCCTTTTTCACAATTGTCGGGTTTAGATTCAAAGTTTGATAGTTTAGAAGCTCTTAATTCTTCTTCTTTTTCAATTAGTTTTTTCCGAAGTTCAAGTTCGGTAATTTCCATTCCTCTAACCTGTTCCTCATATTTTTGAACTAAAGCTTCGGTATATTTTAACTGTGACTTCAGTTCCCTTTCCTCAGTTTCTTTGGCAGCTAATTCTTGGAAACATTTTTCAAGAGCTTTTTTTGTTTCACACAGCTCCACTTGAAAGTGGGAATCTTTTTCTTGAAGGAAAATGAGTTTTTCACCTAATTTTTGGGCTTGGAGCCTAGCATCATTCTCTGCCTCTTCTAATTCAAGCACCTGCTCTTTGAGGCACGCTTTCTCTTTCTTTTCAAGTTCTAACTGAGATCGTAGGTTAAGAGTATCTTTATGGAAATTAACAATAACATCTTGAAGTGCTGCAATTTGCTTTTGATCATTCTGAAGCGCTGTCAATTTAAGAAGTTCATTTTCTTTAGCTTTCAAACTTTCTCGAAGATTCTCAATGGCACACAAACAGAAATCTAAAGAATTGAGAGGCTCTTTCAAATCCCTGACCCATTCATTTTTTGACTTTTCATTCCCTTCAGGGTCTAATACTATAATTTTACTTTTTAAAGGAGGTTCAATAATAGCATTTAGTGCACTTAAATTTGTTACAGTATCTTGAATTTCGACTATACTACTAGGGCCCGTTGAATCCCCTCGACGACTTTCTTCACCTAATCCTTCGTCTTCACTGATATTGTGGCCCAGAGAATCATGCGATTCATCAGTATGGTCCTTATTGTCAGAACATATTTCGTGAACCTGCACGTTTGAGCACTCTATTCCTGACTTCTCAGGGCTATCTAAATCGACTAAAGGCGATGCGTTCGCCTCATTTGCTTGGTCATCAGCGAGCAAATTTAGCGAAGAAGTCATGGAATCTAAATTTCTTAAAGTATAGTCGAAAGAAAGCAGTTGGTCACTTTGTGATTCTGTATCGCACATGTCTATTAAAGCGGCATCATAAGTGTCCGATTCTTTAATGTCCTGCTCAATCTCGTTACATGAGGTACAAGAAGTCTTTTCATGTTCAGCTCGACACCGTATTTGCTCAGACTCTGTCGCAGTTTTCTCCAGGTCCTTAAATGAGAATTATAAATATTTGAAATCTATCGTTTGAAAGTAAAAACAAAATTACAATAAAATCACAGCACAAACGTAGTATGTGACAACTAACGTTTAATAACACTTTTCATTTGTTTGTAACTTTAGTATAAAAGCATAAAACGTAAATATTTTCAATGTATATTTCTGTTTGTTAACAATGGAGACATACAATTTCCTAAGTTTTCAAAATGAGGTAATAATCATTTGAATACATTTATATTTTTCGAAAAGTAATTCAGACACTTGTCTGTACTTAATTTTTCGTAGGCTATACTAAATTCAACATTGCGAAATTATTTAATTAGGCTACTTCCATGCCCCTAATATTTAAGTATTTTCTATTTTTATCATTATCACATGCATATAAGCCTGCCCTTTCGTCTGAGTCGAACTACCAGTATTCAGCGGTCTTAACCACTCGACCACGCTAGGGCCGCTAAATGCAGAAAGTAACTTTATTCGCAAAATTCGTGATGATTTAAAAAGTAAATTACTAATTTTAAATCAATTTTTAGCACTTAACGAAATTAACTATACCCTTAAACACTAAGAAGCAGCTGAAAAGCAAATGGGCTCGCTTTGCGATTTTAATAACTCAGTATTAAGTAAACAGTACTAGTTAATTAGATTAAATATGTTGATGGTTTTCTAGGCAATGTTTTAAATTTAACATACTTAAGTATAACGAATGAGTTTTTAAAATTATCTTTACTGGATCACATGAAAAGATCAATTTTATTCTTAAACTGTGTTCATAAAGTTCTGTACCTGATTTGCAGAAACTTTGCAAGTAGAAATATACGATTAGGGTCAATAATTAAGGCAATGAAGCCCAAGATCACCTTTCACAAATACCCTGTGCGTGTGCTTAATACATCACACCACATAGCTTATAAGGTATTTCTCCCGCCTTCTCAGTATGCCTTCGTGGTGTAGTTGTCAGCACACTCGATGCGTATTCAAGAAGTCCGTGGTTCGAGTCCCGGCGAGGGCATTGCTCATTTTTCATTTCTCCTGATTTCAAAAAAATACCTAATGTCTCTACAAGATGCCAAGTGCAGAATAAGATTGCATGCAAGGGCATTAATATTATGTAATCTCATGCAAGTTACATGATATTAAATTACACTGATAATTATATTGATATTATATTGATGTGATTACATAATATTAATGCGAAATTTTTCATTTGGCAGAATGCGTGAATTACATGCTCTCAGTTTGGTTCTCAATGAGAAGCTTAATCCAAAAAGCAAATCTACTCCTGTTTACATTTGCAGTGTTATAGATGAAAGCGTCAGTAACTGCAACTTTCGCAATCTCTTTTACATTCTCAAACTCCTGGATAAATTTAATGGACCAATTGACAGAAATTTCGATGTTTGCAGAAAACATCTCGGAGAAGCAACGCAAGAGGAAATTGTAACATAGAAATGGGTTTGAGAAAACACCGCAGTTCTGAAGCACCACGGTATAAAACATCGTACTGAGAAATAAAGAGGCTGAATTTCAAAACATTATCAATACAAAATCTGTCTGAAAAACACCGTAACTATTATATGACATATACCGCAAATATCGTATGAAAGATAGATCAGTTGTAGATACACACCTTTCATGAGCCTAAGAAGTACATTTTTCATTAAAACACATTTTTACGTATGTAGTTTTTAAACTGGAAGGAAAAAGGTAAAGCATAATAGTTCAAAATATATAATTACAGTAAAAAATCGAGGGAAAAACATCGTGAACAAAAATATCACGCTCTCGTAGAAAGGAAGGCAGACTTGACACATATATATGCTTTTGTCTTTGCTTTGTTTGACACACAAGTGCGAAGAAAGAGGAGAATTAAAATGTATAAAACAAAAGTCAACTTCCAAGATGTGCGATAATCTTTGTTAAAGCGGAGACATTTTTATACTGATGTATGTATTGCATGACGTCAGAAAACATGTTATTAATTACAGGAATGGTGCGAATGTTTACAAAAGCTAACATGTCTTAGCCAAATATGTAATATTTCCGTTAGAAACGACATTCATAAACACCACTAATTATATAAATGTTTATAAAGCAGTTATTTATAAAAATTTGTAGATAACTGGTTAAAAAAGAAATAAAGACAAAGCTTTTTTAAATGATATGATAAAGCACGACAGTTCTATTTACCTAAAGGGATAGGAGCCTTTGTGGTGTATTTTCTAAGGCAAACTGGCTCGTGGCCACGTTACAGTTGAGGAAAACCACGAAAACACCAATGCGATCAGCCCGTTCGACTGAAATCGAACCCATGTCATACTACCTGTGTTTAACTACTTCACCTCTCGGTCGCTGGTGGGTCAAGCACGCGAAAGCTATCTAGAGATTTTCTTCGTGGAGGAATTTTTAGATACCCTGAAGAACCAAAACATTATGCACACTTACTCAATAATGCGTTGCGTGACCTTTGGCCTGCAAAACAGCTGCAATTCGCCTCGACAGGGCTGACACAAGTTCTTGGTAGATAACTGGAGACAGGTTGTACCAAATGTCTAAGCAGCGGTCACGCAAATTCGAGATATTCCGACATGGTAATGTTTGAGCTCTGAGCTGTCACTCTATGACATCCCAAATGTGCTCTGTTGGGCTAAGAACTGGCGAATTAAGTGGCCAGAAACTTCACTGGAATTCATCCTTATGCACATCGAACCACACCAACACAATTCGAGCCTCATGACATGGGGGGTTATCCTGCCCCAAGATTCCATTTCCAGTTGGGAAGACAGACGCCATGTAAGGGCGCAACTGATCCGCAGTTATAATCAGATAGTCTGCAGCTTTTATGGTATGTTCTTCCACAACTAAGGGTCCTAGAGCCGTCCATGACAACGTCCCCCAAAACATAATACCGCCACACCACCAGCCTGTGTATGACCTGCTGTACAAGGAGGGTGTAACTCTTCGCTTGGAAGGCGGCGTACCTTGACACGACCATCGACGAGATGAATAAGAAATCGTGATTCATCTGCCAAGCAACTGTGTTGCACTTAGCCATGGTCCAGTCTCGATGTTCCTGGGCCCATTGGTAGCCGTAGTTGACAATGACACTTGGTTGGCAGTAGCTCACAAGTGGGATGTCCGGTGCGCAGTCCCATATCCAATAGTGTCCACTGAACTTGTGTGTTCCGAAACACTTGCACATGGATCTGCTTGTATTGGGCTGTCAGCTGAGCCTCTGTCTGGCGTCGATTTTGCTGTACCATGGGTGGAAAGTCCCCGACGTCCTTTTTCTTTTATGACACATGGATATCCAACACCTTGGGATCTACTGCTGATTTCACCGTCATTTATCTTCTTTTCATAAATACTAACAACGCCAGATCGTGAACAACCTACCACTTGTGCAGTTTCGGAGAAACTTGTTCCGAGTCTTCGGGCCATTATAATCTGCCCTCTATCAAATTCGCTTATATATCAGCAACCTTTCCCATCACTATTCGCAAAAGCAAGTGCAAGAATGATTCCTTACCTTCTCCAGCAGCAGTTAAATACCATTCCCTCTTAATCACGTGCCCTCCATGTCATCAAGACGAGTTCATTGAACAATGTGGAGATGGTCATAATATTTTGGCTGGTTAGTGTATGTCTTAGGAGGGATGCCTTCGCGGGACTTTGGTTAAAGAAAACCGATTCATTAAAGAAACACACAGGGAAAACGTAAAAGCAAAAACGCCAAGCAGTGGTGTGTTCTCTGGGTCTTAATTGCCAGCATACTGTGTACCAGTATTCAGCTGTCTTATACCTGTGATTTCTGATGGGTTCTCAAAATGGTAATGACCGCTAAAATCTTATACAATCCTAAATGCTGATAGTTCATTCCTGGCTCGATTTCTGACTCATGAAAATTGACGGAATGAGGTTTCCAATACATATTCTGTTTGCCCTGGAAAGTGTTTTAAGAAAGCAATTAGACAAGTAGATATCGAATTTGTTTGCCAAAATAAGTTACCAATTATTGATTTTAATTTTCTATAACAGTACTCAGACCTTCGCATACATTTTATCGATATATTTTATAGGTATGCTTGAAGACATGATATCAGTTCAATCTGCGCCATTTTTGCTTTCCTCATTTTTCTTACTATAAATTGCAGTAGCTAAACCATTGTAAGTAGTAGCAAGTAGCTGACATGCAACCTTTTTATACACATGCAGGTATTTCTGATTTTTAAATGAATATTCACAAATAAATCAAGCATATCACTTAATATATTAACAAAAAACACGGTGTACCTTTTGAATTCTTTCAAGCTGTTGAAGTTTTTGAAATATGACCCCGCTGTCCGCTTTTATCTCCATTTTCCCAGCTGTCCACTTTATCAACGATTGTAGTTCGTTGACAGTTGCAATCACATAATCCATTCCGACGCCCAACTTGCAGTTGCATTTCACTGCGTTATCGAGCTGCTCAGTTAAACTGGAAAGTTTCTGAAAAAATAAAACAAGAGATAAGAAATCACACTAGAAATAATGCAGAGGAATCATTCAGGCAAAGAATCGTGAGCCAGAATGGCTTTCAAGTTATAATGCCATTTAATTGAAAATTACAGATAATCATTTTGGGTTACAATAAGATCGTAAAAGTAACTTACCCTGAAAATGTTTCATCATCTATTTGATAAGGAAGTTAACGTTTTAATTCGCAGATTTAATCGCTAAATTACTTAAATTAATTTAGCAATTTTAATTTTTACTTGTGAGTATCATCAAATAATATGATCGTAAAGAAAAATTTTTAATAAATCTTATTTGTAATTAGTAGTAATAATTTAAAAATTTAATTTTTAAATCAATTTAAGTAACTTAAACGTTAAACTTATTTGTAATCACAATCATCACTGGATATTATATATTATAAATAATTTACATTTGTAAACAGCAACAAATATATAACTTGTAAATTTAATTGCTAAACTATTTTAATTATTTTACCAAGAAAATTTCGTTCTTGTAATAATAATCAAATACTGTAATCACAAGTGAACATTTCAATGATCATTATTTACAATTAATAATAATTTCAAAATTGATTACACTTTTTCCAGAACTGTAGCTTGAATAAATTACTGAGTTTTCGGACAAAACTTTCTGCAAAATATTTATACTTATTTTCAAACATTTAGCGGAATCCTTAAGATATTAATGCCGAATACCCTCTGTGCAACACAAATTTCCAAAAAACTGATTGTTCCGGTTGCTGAAGATTTATTTCATTTTTTATTAGTATATAACCGTGACAGTTCCTTACCTTCTGGGCTTCTTCCAGCTGCAACCGATAATTCGTAGTTTCCATTTCCGCTTTAAATTCGTTTTCTTTAAATTTGGTCCCAGCTTGTTCAGTCTGAGGAAATAGAAACAAAAACTATTATAATGTATACGTAAAAGCTCATATACATTGTTTTTACCTAAAAAACCGGAATATTTCTAAAATTTTAATTTATAAAGGTAATTCTAAAAAAATCTTAAGATATTTAGAAAAAACGGGGATTAAAAATTAACACATATATTGCCGCACTAATAAACAGCTATAATAGTACAAAAATTGAAAGTAGATATCATGATTACCTACACATAGAATTTGCTGTTTTTTATGTGGCCTGAAAAAAAAAAGCCTACCAACCATAACTGTGGTTAATGTGGGCGTGCATAAGAGTTCCGGAGAAGTCTTGGATGTCTGTGAAGCAATGGAGCACTCCAAATACAAGGCAAGCCGAAAGTCTTCTCGAGAGGCCAATGGTAAGGGAAGAGGGATTTGTGATAGGGAAAGCGAGATTTTCGATAGGAGAAGATGGGAGTCGGCTGCGGGGTTTTTCCTCCCTCAAAATTTGCCGCGGTAGCTTAACAGATACGTTCATCATTATCCCAATCAGAAGTGCTGCCCCAGCTTTTAACTGTACCCTGACCTGCCCATAAATTCAAACAAGAAATAATTAAACAGTAATATTTTTAAAAAAATGTCAGTAACAAGTAGCCGACTGGGCACCAATATCGCATTAATTGCCTGTGTCAATCACAGGCAATTAATGAGATATTTGTTAATTTTTTTTTAATTCTGGACCATCAGTTGCTTTCAGATCGTGCATCTGGCCCGCGTGCAATTTGAACTTGAGACCACTGCATTATGGTCATATCTAAATACGTTGTCAGCCACATGTGACAAACGGGACGACAACAGCTCAGTGAAGTGTATATGCTTAGAAAACAAAATGTAAATATTTGATGCATTACACACTGCACTTTATATAAAGTGCTAGTATAAAAATACGCACAGTCTTAACAGACACGTCTCCACGACGGGTAACCCTTTATAAGGTGAAAATTGGGTACTGTTAAGAAGAGACAGACACCTCTATAAGAAGGGTGCAGAATAAAATCGTCCTTACTCTATGGTTGCTATTTCTAATTTGAAAAAAAAAAGTCTTTATAAAAGTGGGGTATTTTTATATTGGAACTATGTAGCAAAGCTATGCAAGTAGAATTTTCATTTACTTTGCTAATCAGAGTAGAAAATTGAAATAATCCTTGTGTAATCATATTTTGCATAACGATTCCAACCATTGTTTAAACTTCAACTGGCATAAGGACTACTTATGAGAGTTATAATTTTATTTTTGTCATTTTTATGATATGCTTTTCAATAATTCATTTTCTGACCTTCTCATAACGGTAACGTTTGGCTCGTCTGGAGTGTCCAATATCTGTGCTGTGATTTACCGCTTTTTAACCCTGCAGACTCATTAATTAAATCCGAAACTTATCTTACCAACTTCTCCAGCTCACTTTCTCTTCCGAGTTTGGTTCCTTGATGTTCAAGGCTAGCGGCTGTACCTTTTTTGCTATTTCATTCTTGTCGACTAGAACAGTAGCTTCCGGATAACTAATGTTCGCCACATAGGTTTTTAAGAAATCTATCACCAATAAAACCTTAGACAGAATGTGTTTTGCAAAAATCCAATAACACCAAATTCAGTCGCTGAGAACGCATCAGTTTCGAAATTCCTACGAAACCTAGTCCTCACTTACAAAATTGTGCATTGAAAGCGTACGCAATCATTAATATGATCTCAGCATACTATTAATACTTTTATTTCATATGTTTTGATTGATTTTAGGCATCTCATACGTATAGCTTTCACTTCTTGAGGTAACATCCATTGTTACTACGCTTGGCAAAGGGCCTTTGGCACTCGTTTTGAGAGATTTTCTTTCAATGGATTTTTTTTTCATTTCCCTTTTCATTGTCTATTTTCTTGTTTTTCGTTTTTGCACTTCAGAGTGTGGAAAAGAAAGCAGAAGGTCAACAAGAACGCTTCTTCTAAGTATTGTGTTTCTCTCCAAGCACAAAATGTCATATAAATTTACTTTAGCAGCACAAATACTACCTATATTATAACTGGGAGTCATAATAAATAACGGTAAAAACTTTTAATTGCAGAAATATGGGAAACAATATCGACCTTTTCATAAAAATTTCTCCTTATCTTAAGTACCTTATATTCTAATTTACTAAACGCTCAATTTTTATCTTAAAGGGCAACAATATTTATTTCAGAAGGAGACTACACTTAAGAAATGGATCCAACTTTGAAGTGCATCTATGCTTCATATTCATATTTCCAAAAATATAACCAAGTTTTTCTCATATGGAATATGCCTAAAGTCAATACTAGCTTTACCGGTGTAGTTGATGAGAAATAATAACAAAGGAAGAATGAATTTATTGTTTTCAATAACTGTTGCTCAAAATTATAATAATTAGAATGGAAATGGTTTATAAAACAGTTACAGAAAAATTCTTGTAAAATTTCAACACAGAAACTGTTTGTTGACCCTTAGCAACGTTAAGTTCAATGCTCAAATATATATATACGTATATATATATATATATACATATAAGCTTCGGTTTTAGGGATTTTGCATAAAATTGAGTAATTAAGAAGAATTTAACCAAGATCAGTGAATACGAAATTTTATGAAATTTTTAAGAAGATTTAAAATGTTTTGAGTTTATCAAGACCTACATCACTATAATACCAATCAAACTGAATTTACGTACTGTATTTTCTCGCATATTTATCCCCCTCGCGCACGTTTCCTTTAGTTTTTTCAACATATGATTTATAAACTTCTGATTTATGGTAACAATGTAAAACATGTATTCAAATAAAAAAGTATTTGTGTAATTAAAGGAATATTATTGAAACTGATTAGTTCTTCGAAATAACAATAAAATAATATTAGTGTGTCTTTATGCATGTCTTTCAATGCGCTATGGTTATCATTTAAACTATAGCTTCCAAGAAATAGCATACACCGAGCTTATTTTCCCTACTGGTTTTCAGGCGGCAAAACTAGTAGGAAAAGAAAGGGGAAGGAATACTCAAGTATATACGATAAATTATGACAGTTCAATACTACTGTAGTTGTAACGCCGACTTCAGATGTCAGCTGGATGTCATAACCATCAGACATACACTCTTACTCAAAATCTTCGCAACTTCTTCGAAAGGCAATAGTAAACGAGGCACGCTTTCAAAATCTTCATAATGTCATCGAAAGACAGCGACAATTGTGTTTATCCGGAACTTTTAGGTCATAGTCAACTCCCAAATAACCCGGGAACTGGAGACGACGTCCACTGTTTAGCTCCTAACCACTATTAATCAAACCAGTTTTCTTTAATTTTTTTTAAAAGAGAAAGAATAGCCCATATTATAAAAATAAACAAAAAAATGTTCTTAGCAATTTATCTGCATATTCCAACAGGAGAATAAATTCATCTCATAACATAAATTAAACCAGAATTCATAATAAAGTACACGGACAGGAAAATAAACATAATTCAGAAATGAAGAAACTAAGTTCTAAATAGCATTAAAGGGAATATTTATAACAGAAGTTAAACAATGTCATTAAATTCAAACTCGGGTAAAAAGCAAGTTTGAACATTTTGTTTTCTACTGTACAATGTTTTGTTTATTCTGATTTGCATTCAATCAAGCCTTTCAGTGTAAGTTTAGTTTTATACACATGACTGTAATTTTTTATACTGTAAATTGTGTTCCAATTTTATTCAGCAGATGTTAAATGAAATCTGATTATTTTTTTTACTTAAGGGTGGTTTCTCAGAGATCGTGGGGCAAAGGTATGCAATAGCTTTTTAATGGGTCATATATATTCCAGCAAGCCATGAAATTTCTAGAGCATGGACGACCCTTTAATTTAACCCAATGATGTAGAGTTAAAGTAATGTAGTGGGGAAAAAACAACTCCCAAATACTAAAACATTGTCCACTACCACTTCTGTTATAACCTGACCAGTGGCCGAGTTAAGACTAATACTTACAGTTTAATCTGGGTCCGAACTCAGACGAGTTGTTTCAGAACTAGTTGGTTTTCGTAGTTTTTCCCTCATGTGTAACGTGAATACGACCCAATTTCTCTTAGCAAATTCTCCATGAAAGCACCTCTCCCTTCAAGGCAGATAGCCCTATGTGCTTTGTATATTCAAATAACTTAACCTAACCGCTACTCTTATACCATCCATTTATCAATTTTTACATTGATAATCAGTGATATGAATTTTTCCATCATTCACCAATAAATAGCAAATTTTAATTTTTTTAGGCAAAGCTTGGTTGATATAAAACTCTGTTAAATGAGATTTGATTTTACAGCTGTAACATTACTGTATTCAACCAGGAACGTCTAACAAAATGGGAGCATTTTATTGTTCGGAAGAGTACAAAAGTAATGTAATAGGAAGTAAATATTATAACAGTAGCAAAACAATTATTTTAATCGAAGTGGATTTTATATTTGTATTATACATTGTTTATTTTATCAGACATTTTTTATTCATCATTTTGTTTATTTTTCCTCTAATCAAAAATCTCTCTCTACCTTAATAGCCATAATTAATAAAAATATTAATTATCTGCATCCGGAAATATGCTCAGTTTTAAAGACTTACAGAGTTTTGAAACCTAACCAAGTTTCAGATTCCTTGGCCGAAACTCCGTGATATTAATTTTGATTAAGAAACTTACTTAAAGAAACGTCTCAACCTGAGGTTTTTATAATATGACAGTTTTTAATGCGCGATTCGGGGATTTTTTTTCCTAACAATAATTGGCCCAAAACAGAAGGAAGTGATGAGATGTGGCCAAAACTGTTTTTAGAAATCTATTAACTAAATCATCCTTTCAGAAGGTTGAATCACTGTCAAGTAAGTACTCAACCTAAGTAATTAGGTTTCAAACAAGGGATAAAAAAGTACTTTTTTAGGATTGCAGCCAAATATAAGGCGGAATCTGATGTGGAAAATTTCCATTCCTTATCTGATTCCGGTTTAAATTAATGCATCTTATACAAACTGTAAATTTTTCTCTAACGTTAAAAAAGTAAAATTTCAAGTTGAGTTTTGTAAATTTATTTATGAACTGGTTCCGTCGGTTAAGACTTCCACATCCCATCCATTTGGCCTGAACACATGTTAAATTACTGTAATAGTGACGTCGTTTTTAATACTGAAAGGAAAACTACTAGGACAACAGGAAAAACAATACATTGACAACATACTGCGTTAATGAATGAAATCTCGAATCAACGATATTACAAAAAATATGTACAGCTGTTGGACTGAATAAAAGTAAAAACATATATACGGACTAGCAATATAAATATGCAATGGACTCATTAAATGATTTAGGGTGCATTTTGCGAATGTTTATCTCTTGTTATGCTCGATAAATTACACAGTTAATGTTAAGTAAGTACTCTGATTAAGTTGTCTTAAGTTGTCAGTTTATTTCAAAATAATTTATGTTCTTCGATGACAATTTCTGCACGGGGGGGGGGCTCTCCTATCGCCCATAACGTTTTTTATGGAATGGTAATTTTGAGTTATTCTTCATTCTAAAGAAACGCTTTTCATACTGTCATAGAACTTACCATTCAAATTTACTTCTATTAAAATCATTCGACAGTTACAATCAAATAAAAAGGTCTTGTTCCTTTTATTTGAAAAACAGAACTTTGTACAATATAGAAAAGTTTAAAATTTGTATAATTTAGGGACATCGGTTCCTGAATGCATAATGCAAGAGCAACAAGATTTGGAGTTTTGTTTATTAGCAATGATAATATATGCTTTTTAAACGACTATAATTAAAAACATCGAAATACTATTCTGTTTGCTGGAAACCTTTTTCTTGTTCGAAAATTATTTTATTAATTTTAAAATGGTTTAAAGTTGCAGTTGTTGATCTTGAAATTTTTAAATTCTTTCACGCATCTGCAAATGGTAAGAAGTTTAGCTTCTCCACGCATACTTGCTTAGCATCTTGGCAGCCAAGTCTGCTTTCTTTAACGACAGAAATTACGTATCATTTCAACGAAAAGGTACATTAATGAATTAAGTTTGTTATATTATGTCGTTTGTGGTAGTAGTATAAATATATTACCTTATTTTAACTATTAATAGCCTTTACACACGGAAGTTACAATACATTTAGTAACAAGCAAATTTCATGATGCTGCAGAGACATTAGGTATTTTTTGAAAAGCAGAAGAGAAATGAAAAATGAGCAACGCTTTCGCCGGGAATCGAACCACGGACCTCTGGAATACGCGCCCAGCGTGTTGACCACTACAGTACGAAGCCATTCTAAGAAGGCGAGAGAAATACCTTACGATGCATTTCGTTTTTCATTCTTTCCGAATTACTAGGAATACAGCTGATCTCTGAATCAGGGACGCTAGCATAGGAATTGCAAATTCACGTATATTTTCTATTTCTTCAAATACTTAACAAGTTTCCTCAATCAAGACATACATTTTAATTTTAGTACCACCAAGGGGATAACAAACTTTAATTCTAAGCTAATGAAGGACACGAAATAAAATATTAAAGTACATCTAGCAAATAGTTTCTGAATAAACGATTTCGATTTAACGAAATTAATGAAATTAGTAATTTGAAAAAATTAATTACTGGGAATTATTTAGTAATTCTCAATCTGCAGTTTAAGATCCACTCCTTTCTTCGTTATAGTCATGCAAGAAACATAATGCGCCCCAGATTCTAAGAAATGCGGTGTTAATATTCTGATATCAAAGAGAAATCTTTCCAATAAAGTAAACAATAGCTTAAAGTATAATTTACAAGATATTTGTATTACATGTTGCATTCGCACAATAAAATAAGCGAAAGTTTAATTTACAGCTACACACATCTATGATTTAATTTATTACATTCATATCGATAGTAAATATTTCAAACATTGCCGTAATAAAAATTTCACCTGACATATAAAGCAATTTCACTTTTCCATCAGAACTTTTCTCTGCTTTTTGAAAGAAATTTCAGCATACTTAATGCACTTCGTATGGAACTATGATATTGAGTTTTGGAGCATTATTCTAAACAAGATAAAAAGTAACCGAATAAAAGGTCAAATTTTACTTCAGTGCTCAAACTACCGGTTTGAAGAATTTTTCAGGCACAGTGCCGCTGCAGCTTTTTAAGTAGGAGCTCGTAATACTCGAGCTTATCTCAGTATCAGCGAGAGAAAAAGTGGCTGTGAAATTTGTGAAACTACTTAGTGTGTAATATTTTTAGTTTTATGTAGAAATGATTTATTTGCGCTTTTTTCACATATACTTAGAAGCTAGAAACTTCATGTGAAGTCTTTGAATGTTTTTTGTGCTTACATGTGGGCAACAAAATCGTAATTTTATGTTAATATTGGCAAAAAACTTACTTTTCATATCAGATTTGTGTTCATTTTATGGTAGTAAAGGATAATATAGTTTACTATCTACATACGTTTTATGTACAGATGGTATAATATTTTCCAGTTTTTTTTTTATATATTTCTAAGCTATATGATTTATTACTCATTTTTAAGGTTTCTAGTAGATCTCCAAATATTTTTTTACTATAGCCATTGAAAAATATTCTACGTGTAAGAGAATCCACGCAATTCAAATTTACGTACTTGAAAGGTAAATAATAAATATGACATAGACATAGTCTACATACGGGTATATAAAAAAAGATTTCTTGGAACACTTTTACTTTATCACCGGAAATAATAAAAAAAGGAAGAAAGCCTTCCTCCTGTAATAAAGATTTTGTGAATTGGGTGCACGGCCAAGCAGACAACATATGGGATTTAATACTTAAAGCTATTTCGGATCTATTGATAACTGTAAAATTGAGCTTTTAGAATATGCAGAATAAGGCATGAAACATAATTTTTAAAACAGTGTTTCTCTCTGCTTCAGGATGATGGAACGTAGCCATAATTTCAAACACAAGCGCTGCTTTCTGTTTTCATTTACACGAAAGCTGCTAAAATTCTTTCCAAATTTCTCACTATCAGTTACTTTCAAGAACTGGCAGACATCAGTCTAATGGTGGGACTGGGGCATTAAATATAAAGAAATGACACAAAGCAATAGCAAACTGTCAAAAATAACAAAATGACGACATGAACTTCAGACTAACAACAGCTAATAAACAGAGCTTGCTGATATTGTAATACAAATATAATACAGTACGTTCAGTTATTTGTTCTAATAATAGCAAGCTGTATTCTCAGGGAGGACTGAAAATGATCTCATTCAAAAGGCAGCAATTGAAATTTTGTGTATTTTATTAACATTATTTATTTATTTATTCAAGTAAATATTTGTATATTACTAGATCGATATAAGTATGAGACCTAGGCTTTTTTGTTATGAATGGTCATGTATGAAAATTTTTAAAGCAGAATAAATTAATTTCTCGCACACTGTGTCTAAATTAATCAGAACCTACATCCAGAAAGTCAAAATATAGCTCATTTGAACCACCTGTATTTTAAAATTCTCCATTCCTTCTAAGAGGGAAACACTGTTTTTAAGATAGCGATTAAACTTTCAGACAACTTTCAAATCAGACTATCGAAGAAAATTTTGATACCTGTTCTCAGAAGATAAGGTAACCATGTCATTTTAAAATCATTTTTACTTTACTTTAGAGTTTTCTAGACGAGCTTTTATTGGTCTTTCAGTCATGTACATTTATCACATACGATATTATGAATATCATTTTCAAAACAGAATTTTGGGTAATAGATGAAAATATTCTTCAATGACAAGTGCTACAAGACACTCGCATTCCAATCATTTCCTTCTTATCAAAACATAATTTGAGAACAGACAATACGGAGCATTTGAAGCAAGTCTAGAAAAGATATAGAAAACTAGAGTTTTTGGAGGAAACGCAGAAAAGCGGGAGTTCTGAATCTAGTTTACATCAGGATTTTATGTAGGAAATTGATGAACCCAATAGACAAGAACAATATTTAGAATCACAAAATTAATTCAAACAGAGAAGAAACAAAGGGTATCTTACTTCCTTCCAACTGGAATAGTTTGGAACGTCTTTGAGGATGTTTCTTTCCCATGTTTTCCAGTCTAAGTCTGTGTTTACACCTTTATCTTCAAAGTCTTCACTTCCAGTGGTCTTCAGAATAAAAATATCTTTTCATTAACACCTTCAAGTGTATATTAAGCTCAGAATCTTAGATGGAAAGATTTACATCTGTATGGTTAAAGCATAGAGATACTCTAAAATATACATACATCTTCTGAATTCAGTATATATCTCGCTCGTTCACGAACAAGGAAATCAGTTGTACAAGAACAATTTATCTTTACTCATACATCTTACACTTACAGCAGCCGCACCTTATTACGTTACGTCTGAGTCAATTAATTAGTCAAGGTTTTAAGTTCGCGAGTCTTACGACGAAGGCAGAGTTCTCCGTAATTAAATAGCAGCTTGGGATGGCTAGCTCAATTGACGGAGTATTTGCTTGCGGAGAGGTCTCCAAAAAGACAATAAAACGAGCGATTATTCGCAATAAAACTAAAAGTATTCTCATAAAATAATAAGTTTTAGAAACTCAAAAGTTTAACCTAATATATTTGTAAAATTAGTAGAAAAGATGGGAAAAGTATCAGTATCTATAAGAAAATTTTATTTATATGTGATATTATTGAAATAAAGGAAATATGCTATATAAAATAATAAGCCTATTGCTTACTTAAATTCATGAAATATGAGTTTCACTTTATTGATTAAAAATATTATATTTTTAATACAATGCATAAATTTGTAAGAACATCCTATTTAATAAAACTGACATTGTGACCTTTCTCCAAAAATGATTTTAAACAAGCACTTTTAAACATAATTTAAGTGTTGTTTTAAAATTCTTGTAAACGTCCCACCATAGAACTCAAAGGAATCTGAAGAATTCATGAGTAAACACTTTGTAAGTAATTAAAGGAATAAAGAGTAGTTTGTGATTTAAAAAAAATGAACGCATCAAAATTACTAAGACTCTGCAGCTGAAAAAAAAAAAAAAACAAACAGAGAGATAGAGTTATCTCGCGAGGCATCAGGCCATCATGAGTTCAAAGCCACAGATTTTTTTTTCCATTGCAGACTAAGGAATAATTACTGCAGGAATTAGAAAAAAAAATTAAATGCTGAGTTGGCATTCAAAAGACTTAAAATAAACTGCATTAAGGCAGCTGACTTGACAGAAACTTATACAAAAAAAAAAAAAAAAAAAAAAAAAAAAAAGATTTGTATGTACACAGATTTTTATGTATGTTCAAAATATTTCGACTAAAGTTTTGTTTGCTAATGATAGAATATGAAACGTTAACCAATGGGATGGCTTAGACCAGAGTTTCTTAAACTGTGGGTTGCGAAGTGCAGCAGGGGGTCGCTAAAAATTTTAGCAGTTTTGATATTTCTTTAACTTATTATAATAATTATACAATTACCAAATATTTTTACACAATGTATCTGAAAATAGATAACGATAAGACAATACAAGAAAGAAAAAACGAAAACGTTTTGACGCATTCGTTTTATAATATAAACGTTCATTTTACGTGCTTTGCACGTGATGCTGTCATTTCGTCTGTTACTTATTTAAAACTTTCACATTGTTCTATATCTTAAAATTAGAAATTAAAGTTAATGACCTAAAACTGCAAGGGTATATTACAGTACAAGTTAAAAAAGTGATAGTTTCACTCACGTGTGTGTCGGATTTGCGCAATGCTTATGGGGTCCCACAAAATTTTCGTAAATATTTATGGGGTCCAGGGGTCGCGAAAACGTCTCAGTGATATAAAGGTTCGCGACTGAAAAAAGTTTAAGAAACTCTGGCTTAGACAATGCGAGGAAGAGTTCAGGGTACTAGGTAAAGGATTTGTTTTATAATATATCTACATATTAATAAATAAAAGCGCCACAGTCATTTTATCAGGAAACAGTAATATACGCCTCATCTTTAATGGCAAAATTTATTATATTTAATTAATCAAATTAATTAGCTATTACCTAACTAAATAACTATTAATTGCCAAAATATTAGATAAATAATCAAAAAATGCCTCTCGTCTTTTCCCTCTATTGTTTCTGAAATATATCTTATTCTTTTATTATTTTAATAATGTATCAATGAGAAAGCTCAGAAGCGCATAAGCAGTGATTGGTTATTTGATTATTAATTTCAAATAAACACAGTCGAAACACATATATTTATACCATAGCGTAACTTTTTTAACGTAGAGTAATTATTCTGAATATCACTTTTTGTGACAAGAAGAAAATGAGTAAATTCGAAATGTACTAATTATTGATGAGGTCCAGGCCTATACTAAAAACCCTAAGCATTCTTTAAATGGTGTTTTACCCACCTGTAAAATACTAACAGCTTAAATTAGTACATAACTTCATTCCTATCAAACTAAAAATTCAGTTTGTAAGAAAATCATATTTATGCACAACATGAATAATACGTCATCATATTGTTCATCTAAAATTTATAAAATAAGCATTAAATTGCAGCTTTAGTTAGGTAGTCTTGAACTTTTGTTAGAGTCTTATTCCTGAATATTTTGCTATTTTATCAACATTTATTATGATACTTTGTTATTTTTCGCCATTATAGATATTTTTTTCAAGTACCCCTCACAAAGCCACTGCTAACTATAGAGAATATGCTTACCACATGTAAGGAACCGCTGACTATTACGCTCCAATAAAAATCTGTTTTCAAGATAATGTGTTTGGGGCAATATGACTAATTTCTGGGCTTTCACGATGCTCTTCGAATATTAAGCAACTTGATTTTTTTTTGTTTTGAACAAAACACCAAGTTGGGCTAAATACCGTTTCGATGTGCAAGACAGTTGTTGATGACTCAAAGCTAGAATCATTGTAATGGTTTTGGAAAATTTAAGTTATATCTAGATCTAGGTTATATTTTAATATAGGTATCCTATACTAATGTTTTTACAACTAGTTTCTATAAAATTATGAAATATATTTCTAAAAGAAATAAAGGCATTTTATCAATAACCGTACTCACTTCTTTTACAGAACATCCTAGCCAGCATAATGAAGAATTTGTCTTTAATAAAAAAAAATTCTTAATATTAAAAGTTAGACAGAAATCGGAAAAATTACTGCAGAATTTCCACCACCTCTTGATTTCACAAAAATTGTTCTATAAGAATTTAGTATGGAAGCATCATGAGATAATATATGCGAACTTTATGAAAACAATAAATTTTCATATTGGAAAGTTAAAGAATGAAAGAAATTAGTTATCCCTGATGCTTTTTATAGGTTAGAAAGATTAAATATACGAATTAAAGAAAATCTTTTATATAAAGAAAAACCACGACAAGAATTTAATGAATTTGTCTCTCTTATTCAAATCGGTAAAATAGAAGAAGAAAAGAAATTTATTCTTCTATTTTACCAATTAGAAGAATATTATAAAATTGATTTAACCAAAGGTAATCGTTATGAAATTTTAGGATTTGAAGCAAAAATATGTGGAAAAAAATCACGTAGATCAAGACTTAATAGACAGCTTAGAATATAAATCTGATTTTTTTTTATATAACTGGAGGTATGCAGATCAATAAACATTCAATAACATGTATTCAGACATTTATAAACACTCATCCACCTGGTATCGAGATTATAAAAGATTGTACAAAAATTTCATAAACCAAAGTTAAAAAATCTGATAACGGTATTCGAAAAATCGAAATGCGTTTATCAGATGAAAATGAAAGATTATTTAAATTTACGCAATAGAAAAGTTAAATTTAAGTTTATTATTACAGATGAAAACGAAATTACTTAGGAAAAAATGTAACATTTGACGAAGAGATTTACACCTTGTAGGGTTTATGTTTATTTTAACTAACATTTATTTTAAGTTTAAACTATCTTTCCTGTCAAGCCTTACTTTCCCCTGGAATTGCCAAATGCCAGATTATGTAAATTTTAGTACAACGCGCAAGGATTCAAATTATCAGCGGAAGTATTCTGAGTTAAATAGAAAGGAAACGAGTTCGAAAGGGTGCTTTTCTTGCTTCACGAGTGTGGAGGTGGCTAGTTAGAAATTGAAGAACCACGCGTTTCGGCCTGTGTGCTTGCCTCGGCAAATTGTTAATCTTTCAACGTAATATTCAGAAGTTTGCTGAATTATCAGCGGTATTGTTAGAACGCGGTGAGGTTAGTTACGTTTAGAGAGCCTCGTAGTTAGTCACTTGTTAGCATCTCTTTTTAGTTTCTTATTTTATTTTACCGCCGGGTCGGCGTAGTTTGTGAGCGTCAAGAGCACGCATTTGTAATTTCTAAAGTTGAATAAAAAGGGACTTAAATCCTTCTCAAGACTCTGTCTAATTTCCAGTTTTCAGCAGTCACCACTTTGTTGCGTGCAGGTTGGAAGCGCGCAACTTTACAACCTAATAAATGATTGAATATAGATTATATAGAAAGAGTAAAAAAATACTTAAAAATGTGAGCCTTCTGCAATACGCAAAAAGCTAAAATAAAATAAATAAAATATTTTCGAAGACACATGTAGGATCAGGATTAAAAATTATTTCGAAAGATTTTTACCTCCTAATAAATGGAAAAGATTTAATATCTAACAGACACTTTTCATCATTTAATAAGGATACAGAGAGTAAAAAATTGAGAGAATTTAAGTTAACAGATATAGATCATAATAGTGCTAATAAGTATGAAATTCGTATCGATAATAAAGATGCGCAGATGAGCAAATATTAATTTCAGATTCTTATCTTCAAATAAAATGGAAAATTCTAACGAGCAACGGAAATTCTATAGACTACGAAAATGATTTTTAAATTTGTGGATTAAATCCGTAAAATGTAAGAAATTTACGATAGATAAAACAGTAATTGAATATGTTAATGAATATTTACCTATCGTACAACATGTTATAAGACTCGGAGAATATGCACCTGTGAGGTTTACCACTGTGTAAATGCAGTCAAAAGTGAGTAACCTTAAGAACTAGTTAGCGAACAATCGCATAAGTTCGTGTAACAAGAAACAACAAGAGGGAAGGGCAACTAACCCTTTATTATTCCAATAAGATTTAACAAAAC